TTTTCCTTTGTTTAAAAAAAAAAAAAGAGGGAAATGGTGCGGGAGAATTATCTGTATTCTGTCAATCATATTTTAATAAAACGCTGATTGGCCAGGCAGGCAGTATAGGTGGGAAAGCCAGACAGGAAGTAGGGGTGGAGCAAAGAGACTGGGAGTATTCTGGAAGTAGAAACTCTCTCACCATTCCTGCGCAGACCACCAAGAGGCAACATGTAAGCTGACAGATGAAAAAGGTACTGAGCCCGTGTGGCTAACATAGATCAGAATAATGGGTTAAGATAAGTCATAAGAACTAATAAGTAGCCTGACCAAATGGGCCAATCAGTTTATAACCTTATGGAGTCTTGTGCGTGATTTTTCCTTGGGACTTGCTGGCTTGTTGGGGTACTGGGTGGGACAGAAACCCCAACAAGCCAGCCCTCATACTACAAAAAGTTATGCTTTTGTTTCCACAGAGGATGACAACCTGTGGATTCCTTACAGACTAATGTGGTTTGATGGACCATGATACCCAAAAAGGTTTCTATAAACTATCAAAATTACTTCACCCAACACAAAGCAGAAAGCACTTTGGAGAAAACTATGCACATTACATTTAAAGGGGAATATGTTATTGAGATAAATACTTTACATTGGTACAGGTCTTGGATTACTGATAGAAATTTAAGATCAATTTTGTTGAGTGTTTGTACAGTTTATTTTAAAATGTAATGTTTAATTAAGCAATACAGGTTAATATATAGCCATATGTATATATATGTATACATATATATATATATATTAGTCAAGCTTCTAGTCATGTTAGTTAAGTTTTCTAACTAACTTAGTATAGTTAAGATATAAAGAGATATATTTCATTGATATAGATAATCGCTAAACCTTTCAAGACCCATGGAATATATCATTTAAAATATTTTAATAACTTATAATTTTTATGAGAATGAGACATATCTGCTCCTGACAGCACCAACTACTTCAAAAGGGAGATGGGCATCTAAGAGGCTCCTTATGGAGTTTGCTAGTCATTTGCATAAGAAACTGCTTTTGCCTGTACTGCTTGATATTATGCTGTATAAACTATGCAGGACCCACAGAAAATGACTGCTAAACTTGCCTAAAGGTTAGGCAGTCCTTCAGGGCTCCTGCTTCATGAAAGAGTCTACCAGACATTCTGCAGAGCACAGAAGAAAGTGACTGACAAACTGCCAATATAGGTGGAACTCTCTTTAAATTTTTCTGCTTCATGGAAAAGTCTGCCAGATACTATGGGCCGATAGGCTAAAGATTGAATGACCCAATGTTAAAGAGGAACTTTGGATGACTGTACAGGAAGCAAGATGTCCGTGTCACTTTTAGAGTTTTGGAAGTTGTTTACAATGCACTTCCTGTTAACTTGGGTAAATTTCTTTCCATCTGGGTCTTTGATGGAGTTAAAGAATAGATAGTTATAATTACAGTTTTCCTTAGTTAAAATAAAAGATAGAGTAGATATAAATATTGTAACTAAAATTCTTGCTTGATAACTGTTTTTCATATGCAACTTTACTAAGTTAAAATAAAAACTTCCTTTTTATTTGAACAGAAAAGTAGAAGTGGTGTGGGAAGTCCTTCTGCATATGTGTTGCTTAAATTGGTTACAAAATAAAGTTGTTTCAGCCAGTGGCTTAGCAAAAAGAGCAAGGCAGATATTCCAAGCAGATTGAAGAGGAAAGAATGCAGAGTCAGTGAGAAGCCATGTAGCTGTTGAAGGAGACAGATGCCCAAACTTTACCCAGTAAGCCACAGTCACTTGACAATACACAGATTAATAGAAATGAATTAATTTAAGATATAAGAGTTAGCAAGAAATATGACTATACTAATAAGCCAAGTAGTGTTTTTTTTAATTAATACAGTTTCTGTGTGGTTATTTTACACAGTTGCAAAATGAATGAGCAGCCTCTATCTCCACTATACTAATAAAAAACAGCTTGATTATGCTATAAAAACAGACAGGAAGCCCAATAGGCTAGAACTGAAGACCCTGAAATAAGTCTACACACCTATAAACACCTTATTTTGACAAAAAAGCAAAAATGATGCAGTGATAGAAGGAAAGCAACTTTAACAAATTGTGCTAGCATAACTAGATGTCAACATGTAGAACACTGTAAATAGATCCACATCTATTGCCATGCACAAAACTTAAGACCTCAACTTAAATCCAGTTGCATTGAACCTGTTAGAAGAAAAAGTAGGAAGAATTTTGAGACTTCTTCACAATATAACATGAGTAGCACTGACACTAAAAGCAACAATCAATAAGTGGGACTTCTTGAAACTGAAAACTTCTGTAAGGCGAAAGGCCTGGTAAATAAGACAAAAAGAAAGCCTACAGAATGGGAAAAGATCTTTATCAACCCCACATATGACAGAAGGCTGATTTCTAAAATATATGAAGAACTCAAAAAAGTGGTTAATATATTCTCATTCAATTTTCTACATCATATTTAATAAAAAAAACTAATAAATTAATATGAATTTTTTATAATTTTTATATTAGAATTATTTTGTTATATCCCTAACTGTTCCTTAATAATCCTCTGGTTTCCACCGGTAGCCTAGATAATATCCCATTTTTATCTCCAATGTCTTTTAAGTTCTGTTTATCTTTTGTTCACTTGGCAGAAAGTTCGACAATGTTTCTACTATTTTAAAACATTAATTGTTTTCTTGACACTTAATCGTGCTCTTTCATTTATTATTTTTTGAATTCAGTTCAAATCTTTATTGTGGATTACCTACACCAATACTTTGCTTTTGATATTTTTTTGATAGTGAAACATATGATATTCTGTTCAACTATAGGGTAACATACAAACTTATAACACACAGAAGGTTGGCAGGACTATGTTTCAAACTTTTGTGCGTCAAATTAGAAATTGATTCACAATCATTAGCCTATTATCTAAAATATATTTTAGATTATAACAACAGGGTATTTATGTTTCATAAAACCTTAAATGTTTACTTTCTTTTTTGGTAAATAAAACTAAATCTGACCATTATTGACTTAATGTACCCTTATATTCAAGCTTGATAAAATTATTTTATGTTTCTGTTTATATAGTTTGGAGAAAAAAATCTTGCTATATATTCCAGGTTTTCTCTGAAACTGATTGCAATATACTAAAAACCTTCACCTTGCAATTCTTTTACTTCAGCTTTGCTACTGCTACAGCTAGAAGTATGTGTGACCACAAAGGACTAGACAAGATATAAATAAGTTGAACTGAATGAAATGAACTATTGAAGGGACAGTGATATCTTCAAAAACCCTTAGCAATGACCAGATAACTTAATCATACATGCTTTGGGAACAAACATAAATCTAAGTGAGAAGTTAGATTTTCAACAAACTAGGCATTTTTCTTATACAACTCACTTAAGATTTGAAATAGATGTATAAATTAGCCTCACTTGAACAACTGTTTCCAGAGCATTCCCCACCTCTAATATTTGATATTTGTGTAAATGGACAATGTATACCTGTAATCTGCTCCATAATACACAAAATTTCCTGAAATCAGTAATATATAAGACAAAAAGATTCATTCTTTGATTTTAATTTACAGACATACACAACTCATATTTTCAACTCATGATATATTTATTAATATGGACAGAATTACTTTCTAAGCTCAAGAACACTGATGATTGTGGCTGATATTTTACTATTTTTTCAAGTATAATTTTTGTTTTCCAAAAACAATTTCTTATCTTTTCACTTAATTATAAAAATGATCAGATAAAATGCATGATTCTTTAACCATTCCTATTTTACATAAATGAGTATGAGAAACTGATATTTAGTAAGTTGTCTAACCCAGGTTTCATCCGTACTATGATGAGTGTAAACATCATTGTTATATTTAAGTTCTATGTAGTTTTCTTGCTTTGAATATTTCAATACTTTTTATAAATATTTAGTTGGGGTATGTAGTTGTTTAATTGAGAATGGCCCTCATACAATCATATGTTTAAAAGTTTGGTTCACATTTAGTGGAAATATTCAGAAAGGATTAGAAGGTGTGGTCTTGATGAAGAAGGTATGGCCTTAGTGGAGAACGTATGTGGAGTGGGATGTGGGCTTGGAGTTTTCCAAAACCCAATCCAGGCTCCATCTTGCCTACAACTTGTGAATCAGATGTGATATAGTAGCTATCACTGCAGACCTGTGTCCACCTGCTAGACGCTTGTTGACATGTTCTTTATGAACTAATCAATGCTCAGAAGCTGTAATGAGCTCCCAATAAAATGCTTTCCTTAATAAATTGCTTAGACTATGATTTTTCACCTCAACAGTTAGCAACCCTAACTAGCTAGTGAAATACAGTAAACAGTTATTTTGGAGAGTGGGAGTGATGGCCAGCCTGATCTACAAAGCAAATTCCAGAACAGTCAGGACTGCTAGCAACACAGAGAAAAAATACTATCTAGGGGTGGCGGGAACTGAGCAGTTGTGGTGCACAGCTTTTTCCCAGCACTTGGGAGACAGAGGCATTTCGATCTCTGTGAGTTCGAGGCAGCCTGGCCTACAGATTGAGTTATTACTCAGTAGCAGGAGTGATTTCATGGGGTTTGGTCCAGTTCATTGAAAATAAATGAAGGAACAAATAAGTTTAAAAAAAACAGAGGTATGGATAAATCTCAGGAAAGATGATACGTTACAAATATTTCCACAGTTTTGAAAACTTTGATTAAAGCATAAAGAAAGTTTGAACGGCATCCTGTGGGACATTACTGTTAATGATTCACAAACAAAACAAAAAGTAACCAAAGCAAAAGATTTCCCTTGGAGACGAAGGTCAATGGGAGATGGGAGTTCAAAATTGGCTTAAGTACAGAAGATGTATCAATCCCTAAGAGAAGGTCATACCTAATTCTCTTCGGACATAAAGATATTTCATGGTCTAGCATGCAGAAGAAACCACCTCATACCATTTTTTGTAATTGGCACCTGTGCTCTAGGAGGAGACGGAGGAAGATTCTACTGTAGGTGAACAGGCAAGTGCAGTACAGAAATAAAGTACACAAAATTTTCTGGTGTCTAATCCGATGACAAGAGTGAACCCAAGAAAAGCTGTTTATTTTTGATCTAATGCTTCAGAGAACTGAGGATTCACATTATACTTTATGAGCAGTATTTCAGAAAAATTTCCAAGAAATGTGAGAAATTAATTAAGTGCCTAAGATTTTTAGAATGCAAGAAACAGTGAGTCTTAATATCATCTTTTGGGATAGCAAGGGTGGGTGAAAAACACTATTTTCTCTCTTAAGTAAGAGAAAGTAAATTTAGAAATATTTCATTTTTTTAGATTATGGCACAATAACATTATTTTCTCTTCCATTCAAAATCTCCCATATAACCCCCATTCTCTTTTTGAAGTACATTGACCCCTTTCAATATGTATATGTATATATATATATGCATGCAAGTATATTATAAATATATAAACACCACCTGATAAGACTACATGTTATTTGTAAATATGTTTTGAAATTTATGCTAATATCTGTCTTTTATGTAATTCCTTTCTTGGGACATACTTGAAACTGAAGCAAGTCATGTATAATTTACAAATTGCTTTAAACAATTTATTCACATGAGCTATACAAAGTAAAGCAAATTCAAATAGACTTCCCCACCATATAGACTTGCGATTATGTGTTTGGGTAAACATAACAGACAATAAAGTAAGAAGACATTTGTAAAATATAATCGGTTCAGATCCAAATATGTAAGAAATCATTATTAAGTATTATTAACATGCTGTTGACTGTGTCTTCAGAAGTTAACCGTATTTTGTAACTGAATCATTTTACTCTTTGGTTAGTATCTCTTGACTTTGTCTCTCATCACAACCAGGTGAGTGATTTTAGGGCACATGTGCCACATGCCTGAGAGAACAAATACTTGTGCATTCTCTGTGGCACATTATTTTAACTGTTTCTTTTTTATCTCCACAGATTCTCTTAGAGAAGAATGGTTCTGACAAATGGCTCTTTGGTAACAGAATTTGTTCTCTTGGGTTTAACAGACAACCCTGACCTGCAAATACCCCTGTTCTTGGTTTTTCTAGTAATGTATTTGATAACTGTCCTGGGAAATTTGACTTTGATCCTTTTAACTGTGCTGAACTCTCACCTTCACACCCCCATGTACTTTTTCCTCTTTAACTTGTCTTTCATAGACCTCTGCTATTCTTCCGTTGTTACACCCAAATTACTAATGAACTTTGTACTAAAGAAGAATATTATCGGTTTTGCAGGATGCATGACTCAACTCTACTTCTTCTGTTTCTTTGTCATCTCTGAATGTTACGTCCTGACAGCAATGGCCTATGATCGCTATGTGGCAATTTGCAATCCACTCATGTATAATGTTGCCATGTCCCCTAAGGTCTGTTCCTATCTTATGCTTGGTTCATATTTGATGGGGATTTTTGGTGCCATGATCCACACTGGATGCATCCTGAGACTGACCTTCTGTGCTGGAAACATCATCAACCACTACTTCTGTGACCTCCTGCCTCTGATGAAGCTCTCCTGCACCAGCACCTATGTCAATGAGATAGAGATTTTCATTGTAGGGGGTAAAGATATCATTGTGCCTGGCATTGTTGTCTTTATATCTTATGGATTCATTCTTTATAGTATCCTCCAAATAAAGTCTACTACAGGAAGGTCCAAAGCCTTCAACACCTGTAGTTCCCACATAATTGCTGTTTCCTTATTTTATGGATCAAATGCATTTATGTACCTAAAACCCTCCTCAGTTGGATCTTTGAATGAAGGAAAAGTATCTTCTGTCTTCTATACCATTGTGGTTCCCATGTTGAATCCTTTAATCTACAGTTTGAGAAACAAAGATGTTATAGTTGCCCTGAGAAAAACTTTGAACAGAAGAAAGTTTTGATAAGAAACTTTCTTTGTAACAACAGTCAGAATTCCAAGACATTCAAGGTATAGCCCTGTTTTATTATCTTATATTTTCAATATAACAAAATAATTTATATTTTTCATTCCATATTTTGGTATGTTTTCTTTGTTTTCACACAGTTGTCATGTATACTTTTGGTATTTATAAATTGTAAGACAAAAATTTGTCAGTTAAAGCCTTTTTCATGTTATTCTGGGGTTTGTTCTGAAAAGAAAAAAATGGTTTGCCAGTGATTAAATGAAATAACCAGGGTTACTGAGCATGGTATTAGACAATGTTGCTTAATTATATCTGTATTGAAATTGCTGTTTCTCTATGTAGATCTTTCACCATTGAATAAATGCAGCTCAAAATGTTTCTTTGTAACATTAGTCATATTTATATTATACAGATGTAGCATCATATTTTGATGATAAATTGTGTGTGTGTGTGTATTGAGTAAGGTTGTAGTGTTTAATGAGATTAGTAGTCCTTAGTTAGTAAAGCTCATTAAATAATAAATCCAGAACAATCTATTAATTTTGATATCAAGTTCAGAACTTTTTAATATAGACTCAATGTACAACATTTTAAGATATAATTTCACAATATCAGAATATGAGGTAAATTTTCCCTTTTGGAATTTGGTTGTGGTTTCAACCTGAATATGATACTAATTTTCATCATTTGTTTCATTTTTTTTCTTTTCTTCCTAGTATTTTTTTGAGTTTTTGTTTGTTAGAAAACAATTTAATATCTCTTTTTGGAGGAAGAGGTTGCAGCTCTTGATAGTGCAGCTGGGAAAAGCCGCCTGAAATATAGAACTGGTGTGTCTTACTAAAAGATTTTGTAATGCTTTCTGAAACTTATCAATGTGTTGTCAATTATTTTTGCTGTGATTTCTGCTTGAATGACTGATTATTTTATTTATGAGCTTCTGTTAGGTTCCTTTCAGTGTCTTTATTTCTTTTTTATTATTATTTTATTTAATTACTTTAAAAATGCCAATCCAAATTCCCACTTCATTCCCTTCTCCCCCTCCTCCCACTGCCTCCACCAACCCTCATTTTATGCCCTCCAATCTTAAGATAGGGTATGGCACCCTGCCCGTGGAAAGTCCAAGGCCCTCCCCACTACATCCAGGTTGATTGAGCAAGGTATACATCCAAACAGAATAGGATCCCAAAATCCAGTACATGCACTAGAGACAAATCCCAGTGCCATTGCCATTGATCCCTCATTCTGCCCCAACTGTCAACCACATTCAGAGGGATCAGTTTGATCCTATGCATGTTCATTCCCAGTCCAGTTGGAGTTGGTGAGCTCCCATTAGCTCAGACACATTGTCTCAGTGGGTGTACCCCTCAAGCCTTGACTTCCTTGCTCATACTCTCCCTCCTGCTCTTCAACTGGACCTTGGGAGTTCAGTCCAGTGCCCTGATGTGGCTTTCTGCCTCTGTTTCCATCTGTTGTTGGATAAAGGTTCTATGGTGATATTTAAGATAATCATCAGTCTGACTACAGGACAAGGCCAGTTCAGGTACCCTCTCCTCTATTGCTTAGGGTTTAGCTGGGGTCATCCTTGTGGATTCCTGGGAATTTTTCTAAAACAAGGTTTCTTGCTAAACCTAAAATGGCTCCTTCAATCAAGATATCTCTTTCCTTGCTCTCATATCTGTCTTTCTTCCATCTCAACTATCCCATTTCCTCAAGTTCTCCCCAGCCTTCCCCTTCTCCCCTCCTCTTCTTCTTCTCCCCTTTCTTCTACCCCTTCCCTCACGCGCCCAGATTTTGTCAGGTGATCTTGTCTGCTTCCAATTTCCAGGTGGATCTATATATGTTTTTCTTCGGGTTCACCTGATTACTTTAGCTTCTCTGGGATCACGCACTATAGGCTCAAAGTTCTTTGCTTATGGCTAGTATCCACTAATGCGTGAGTACATACCATATTCATATTTTACTGAACTTTTCTTCTACTCTCTTCATTTTCTTCTCTGTCTAGGTCTTAAACTGATTTTCTTGCTTAGTTAAGTCCTCTGTATGGTTACTCCTTCCTGTGTCAAGTTGTTGATTCTTTCTGGCTTTTAGCTATCTTAGTGTCTTTGTTTTCTGTTATTAGGGGTGTTCTTAGAGTATCATGGTATTGTGAGGGAGGTTGAGAAACATCTTAGGGTTAAGAATAGACTCAAAAGTAAATTTTGATACATTTTTAGAGTTAAAAAACTCCCAAAATACAAAACCTGTGATGACAAACTGTAAGCCTCAGTAGTTGCCATGGCAAACAAGAATGGAGAAGAGAATAAAATATAAGCCATATTGTTTAAGCGAGATTGAAGTTTAGACACATGACAGACTAGCAGTCACATGACAGAGAGGAAACACTAGAGAAAGATTAAAATAAGAAGCTTAAAATATTGGGGAAAGATAAAGTTTGAGGGACAACATTCTTAGGAAAAAAGACTAAAATATTTTCCAAATAGTTTTGAAAAGTTGATATAGACTTGTGAAACCCTATGACAATGACCCAGTAAGCTACTACAGTAAGAGGGAGAATCTGGAAAATCTAGTCAAGAATCTCATTAAATGTTGGATTCCTTGGGTTGAACATTAATCTGACCACTTTGAACCAGATAGAAGAGAAAGTGGGAAGTAGTCTACAAGACATAGGCACAGGAGACCACTTCCTAGGTAGAACCCCAGTAGCACAGACAATAAGAGAATCAATGAATATATGGGACCTCCTGAAACTGAGAAGCTTCTGTAAAGCAAAGGACACCGTCAGTAAGACAAAAAGGCTACCTTCTGACTGGGAGAAGATCTTCACCAACCCCTCATCAGATAAAGGCCTGATCTCCAAAATATACAAAGAACTCAAGAAACTAGACACTAAAACTCTAATTAACCCAATTAAAAAATGGGGTGCTGATCTGAACAGAGAATTCTCAACAGAAGAACTTCGAATGGCCAAAAGACACTTAAGGTCATGCTCAACATCCTTAGCGATCAGGGAAATGCAAATCAAAACAACTATGAGATACCATTTTACACCGGTCAGATTAGCTAAAGTCAAAAACACCAATGATAGCCTATGCTGGAGAGGATGTAGAGAGAGGGGAACTCTCATCCATTGTTGGTGGGAATGCAAACTTGTGCAGCCACAATCACAATCACAATCACAATCACAATCAGTGTGGCGGTTTCTCAGGAAACTGGGAGTCAATCTCCCTCAGGACCCAGCAACTCCACTCTTGGGAATATACCCAAGAGATGCCCTATCATACTACAAAACCATTTGTTCAACTATGTTCATAGCTGCACTATTTGTAATAGCCAGAACATGGAAACAACCTAGGTGCCCCTCAATAGAAGAATGGTTAATAAAGGTGTGGAACACATACACATTAGAGTTCTACTCAGCGGTAAAAAACAATGACATCTTGAATTTTGCATGCAAATGGATGGAAATAGAAAACACTTTACTGAGTGAGGTAAGCCAGACCCAAAAAGAGGAATATGGTATGTATTCACTCATATGTGGATTCTAACCATAATTAAAGGTCTTTGAGCCTATTATTCGTGATCCTAGAGAAGCTAAATAAGAAGGTGAACCTGTTGAAAATCATGTAGCTATCTGCCTGGATATTGGAAATAGACAAGAGTCCCAGGTAACCTCGGTTGCATGGGGGGGTGGGAGGGTTGTTGGAAGGGGAGAGGGTTAGAGAGAAGGGGGTAGGGGAGGAATGGGGAAAGCTGGGTGGACTGGGATGGGGGGAGGGAGGAAGGATGGATATGAGATCAGGGAAGAATATATTTCAACTAAGGGAGTCATTTTAGGGTTTACAGGAGACTTGATTATAAATGGGATCGCAGGTCCAAGGAGAGATCCCCAGATTGTTCTCTAGACAGAGGAGAGGGTGCCTGAACCGGCCTTGGCCTATAACCATACTAATGAAGATTTTGCTTATCACCATAGATCCTTCATCTCACGATGGATAGCGATACAGACTGAGACCCACATTGGAGCACCAGACTGAGCCCTCCATGGTCCAAATGAGGGGCAGAAGGAGGAAGAACATGAAAAAAACTCAGGACCGCGAGGGGTGCGATCACCCACTGATACAAGGGGACTGATCTAATGAGAGTTCACCAAGGCCAGTTGGACTGGGATTGAACGAGCATGTGATCCAACCAGATTTTCTGAATGTGGACGGATTCTCTGAATATGGCTGGCCCAGAGCCTTTTTGAAAAGCCACTGACAATGACACTGGGACTTGTTTCCTCTGCATATACTGGATTTTTGGGATCCAGTCTGTTTGGATACTCACCTTCCTGGACCTGGAGGGAGGGGGGAGGAACTTGAACTTCCCACAGGGCTGGAAGCCCTGACTGCTCTTAGGGATGGAGAGGGAGGAGGAGTGGGAGGGGGAGAGGGGGAGGGTGTTGGGAGGAGGGGCAGAAATGGAAACTTTCATAATTTAATAAACTTTGAAAAAAATAACAAATATTAAAAAAAAGAATCTCATTAAAGCACTAATTATTCTACCTAATCCTTACCTCTTTCCTATCAATTGTCATTTGGCCAGGTGACTGACCAGGACCAACAATCAAGTCTCCAAACAAGATAAAACATTCTATTCTCTTGATCACAAAGGTTTTTTGTTGTTGTTATTACTGATTGTTTTTCTTGTTTGATTTTTGTTGTTGTTGTTGTTGTTGTTTAAATTGGTTTTACTACTACCTAACAATGTGGTTTGTTGTTATTGTGTTTTATGCTTATAATGGGAGAGATGTGTCCTTTATTTTAATTTTCCCCTTTGTTTATTTCCTTATGATTTATGGGATTCTTCTTACAGGGTAATCTTCACTATAAGTTGTTTTCTGCTGTTATCTAGTCAAGAATGGAAATAGCTACATGCCTTGTAATGTTTCTCCTAGAGTTCTGGGGAGGAAACACTAACATACATCATTTATGTCTCCGGTAAGACTCAAGTACAGA